TTTCGTCCAATATTGCATGATATTACATTCATACATGGCACAGAGAAGAAAAAAAAAAGAGGAGAAACGAAAAAAGGTCCACACACGTTTCGTCCTCATACCATATCTAGACGATTGTGACATAAAATGGCTCGCTTTAATGTGATTATTTTTACAAAAAATGAAATTTTCTTGTCTCAGTCAATTAAAACAATATTTACAAAAACTTGGTTGCAACGACCCTTAAACAATAGAGAGTAATTTTACGCTGAAGTTAAAATAGGAATGAGATCATAAAACAACTTTTGCTTTTGTTTTAAATGAATCATCAGAAATTGTATCCTTGTTTCCATCCCAAAGTAGTAAAAGTTAGCGCAAATTTCTACGATAAACTATGTACACAGTGCCATGTAATCACGTGCTGTTCTCGCGAGACTTTCGCAACTCGCATAGTATCTTTCGTTAAACAAATCGATCGCGTGAACGATTTTTGTATCGATAACAGCGCGATACATATCTCACACTTATTCGCTGATCGAATCTCAACTATTTTGAAATCGTCATGGCTCCTTACTTGATCATTTAATTGGACGAGATGAAAATATATTTTCTTAGCCAAAATGATATTTCCATGAATATTGCGGGTGTAAAATATAGTCAAAATTGACTACAAAGGGCAATGAATATTTCAGATTTTTGAGGAAGACGATTTCATTCGAACTTGGAAAAATTGCATCAACTCGTTAAGTACGTGATCGAGTGTGTGATGTCTGGGGTCGAAGTATAATTTAATGAATTAGGCTATATTTTATTATTGATAAGAGCCCGAGATATTATCAGGGAATAATATAAATTATCGTTGGAATGGAAAATAATATCGAAGTGCCACACGAAACACAGATTTACGATGCAATCTGGAGAAGCAGACATTTACCATTTAACGATGGAAGATAATTTACTTCGATTTCGGACGAAAGATTTCTGGTGTATGTATTTGGAAAGAAAAATAACATGTGTACTAACTTGCAGACACGTGTCAGACACTCTTATTTTTTTCCGTATTCTGATGATAAACACATTTGGTAAACATGTTTTTTATCAAAAAATTATAAAATTGATTGCTTTAGGCATTGTAATGCAGCATGCAAAATGTAGAAGAAATTCTTTTTTTTTAAATAAAAACTGTATCAATTTAACTCGTATAATTATATTGAGGGTGCGAAAATCATTATGAATAAAAGATTTATTTCAACCAATGTTTCTCAGAATAATTGATCGACTCCATTTCAACACTTGCAGTGATATTCTCATTTGCAATTAAAAGTGTCTAAAGAAATGACTGTTGAGAATAACTTTCAACTGTTTATTGCTTTAATAAAAATATGAAATAGTTCGAAGTAACATAGTACTCTCAAAAATACGTCCAGTCTTTTATTATCATCTTTTTTGTTTCTTTTTTTTGTATACATTTCGAGCAAATTATGTAAACGTTAACGTTATGAAAAACCACAAAATTACGCGTAGGAAAATTTTGAAATGAAAATTTTTTGTGATTAGTACTTGTTATTTTTTTACTCTTCGATGAATTATTGTCAAGTAAGTCTTAGATTTTTTTAATGAAATGGACACATTTCTGGAAGTAATTTATAGTGAAGCTACAGCTCTGCATTGCATAAAAAAAAAAAAAAAAAAAAAAAAACTAATCTAGCAGAAATATTTTCTTTACGTTAAAGTAGTTTTTTCACTCGGAAGCTCGAATATTCAATTAATCTTTGAAAAGTATAAGTTCAACTTTTTTGAAATTTGAGATCTATGCACCCAAAGTTTTCGTTTTGTATATTGATACAGATAACCTGGAAAAATTTGCTTTCTACTTTTCAGTGTAATATATAAGTTGTTCAACAGTGTCTACATTGTTTTGAAAGCATTTTTTATTTTAAGCAATTTCTCGATTTTAGAAGTCTATACTCGAATCTCTACAATTTTCCTTGCGAACTTCCGAAGCTCGTCGAAACAATGTCATTGCAGTATTTTATTTTAAATGACTTAAATTTAATAATTTGCTGTGCTGTCTTTGCGCTTATAATTCGATATTTCATCAATAATTTTTGTGCGTATTATGGAAAAACAAAAAATTCCAGTAAATTTCAAAACTAAATTGTGTTAATTTTTAATTGAAAATTTTATTAACGATGTTCGCTGTTTCTGCAATAAAACGCGCAATAAGTAACCAAGTAATCGAATAAATTTTCAATAATTCTTTAAACTGCTATTAAAATATTTTCTCAAAACTTTACAAGACAGTAGATTCAACGTCAATCTTATGATAATTTATGAACGCCTTATGAAATTCACTAGAGTAACAATCATCTTATAAAATACAAACATTTTATCGCTTTACAAACATTTTGAGCTGATCAAAATTTCATACAACAACAACTATAATAATAANTAATAACAATAATAAAAAACACTAATAAGCAAAATTATCTTGTTGGAGATAAAGTTGCTTGATTAAAAAAAAAAAATAAATTAATTTTACCTGTCTTAAACTACAGCCTTAATGGGCTTGAAAAATTTACTGAATTAAAAATAGATGGTGTCTTCAATAAAAATTAAGTACGTTTAAACTGTTACTTAAATCATCTGTAAGTACCGATCAAAATACCAATTTTTAGTTTGACTATAATATAATAATAGACAGCAAAATGAAAGTATAGTTTTACCTGTAATTTTATTTTTTTATCTGTAGTAATAATACGCTTTAAAAAATATTTTAAAAAATATTTTAAAAAATGTCAAACGTATGTATATGTACGTACACATCACCGGCCTGCACGAAAAAATTATTTTGTTCAACTCTTTACGAAGGATTTAAAATTCACTCTAATATCGACCAAAAATACTTAATATATCATTCGGAGCTCCCGTGAAAAAGAGTACAATTAGAGTTCCACAAACTAATTAGTTTTCGTCGCATAAGTGCCATCGTCTCCGGGGCTATTTTGCGGCCCAAGGGACGTGAGGTAGTCGCAGAGCGATGGCGCTTGTCTTATGTGGCGTATCTTATTTTTTTCCCCTACCAAGGGCACATCAGCCACTCAAAAACGCCTGAGGTAGGAAAAGTTGATTTTCTTACCACAAGCGCGTTACTCGCACTTTGCGTTTATGATACGAAAAGTACCATTTTGTCATCTAGAAAAAAATACGAATCGTGCACTTGAGGTGGCTTGGGCGATTTTTATCGGCTTGATCAAAACCTCTGAAATTGTGGAATTATGTAAATAAAGTATGCCAAATTCATTTGCGATAAAAAAATACTGGGATCGACGACTTAATTTTTTTGCTAATCGCTACTGAAAATTCACCAATTTAAGTCTTATGGGAATTGTCACTAAAACGGCTATAACTCTCGAAGTACTTGATTACCCTCAAAAATGTTAAATAGTTCTCATGTATTTTTTTTTACAAAGAATCTATTGAATTCTTAAAAATATAGGGTCAACGACTTAACTTGAGAGAAAATCAGAAGGAAAGTATGAAATATTAATCTGACTTGCCTCGCAACACCTCCCAATTTTCACAACTATAATTTCACGGTACTTTTCTGGCAATTTCTTGAATGTCATGTCTGAGCCTACGGGCGATGATGAATAAAAAAGAAAAAGAAAAAAAAAATACTTACTTATTGAAAAATTTACCGTCGAAAAGCGTTGATTTTTTAGCACCCTACCCTTGGTACGGTACCAACCGCCTAAGCCACCTAAATTAATACTTTGTTGCTAAACGTCAATTTTTACCTGCAGGGGAACAAACTACTATTTTCATGTTGTATAGTTCAAAATTGTATGTTAGGTTTTTGTTTTTCCTCTAGAATTCAGTAATAAAAATTTCGAGAATTTTTTTCCGTTTCATGACATCTGTTCAAATATAAACTATTAGGTTCGATAAAAAACCCGAACTTATTCTTGAAATTGAAGGTAATCGGATGATACATAATCGAGTTAGTACAAAAACTTTTATAATTGACTATTAGTCAAGGAGATGTCACTTATCCGTACCTAACTGATTTTTTTTCAGAATGTGTTTACGTTATTTAATAACAAGTTGCATTTTCTTTGATTAAAACGTAACACTTCCATAATGTTGGACATACCTAAAAAATTTTCAAGCTTGAATATGGATAAAAAAAATTCATGTGTACTAATAACTGTATATTAATTATTTTTATGTAGTTTTCGTAAACAAATGACATTTCCAGTAAAGTAATGTATATTTATGTTTTCATATAGTTTTATGAACCTTTTTCCGTATTCTGATGATAAACACATTTGGTAAACATGTTTTTTATCAAAAAATTATAAAATTGATTGCTTTAGGCATTGTAATGCAGCATGCAAAATGTAGAAGAAATTCTTTTTTTTTAAATAAAAACTGTATCAATTTAACTCGTATAATTATATTGAGGGTGCGAAAATCATTATGAATAAAAGATTTATTTCAACCAATGTTTCTCAGAATAATTGATCGACTCCATTTCAACACTTGCAGTGATATTCTCATTTGCAATTAAAAGTGTCTAAAGAAATGACTGTTGAGAATAACTTTCAACTGTTTATTGCTTTAATAAAAATATGAAATAGTTCGAAGTAACATAGTACTCTCAAAAATACGTCCAGTCTTTTATTATCATCTTTTTTGTTTCTTTTTTTTGTATACATTTCGAGCAAATTATGTAAACGTTAACGTTATGAAAAACCACAAAATTACGCGTAGGAAAATTTTGAAATGAAAATTTTTTGTGATTAGTACTTGTTATTTTTTTACTCTTCGATGAATTATTGTCAAGTAAGTCTTAGATTTTTTTAATGAAATGGACACATTTCTGGAAGTAATTTATAGTGAAGCTACAGCTCTGCATTGCATAAAAAAAAAAAAAAAAAAAAAAAAAACAAGTTTAGTTAAACAAACGAACAGTGTCCAACATTAGTTAATATTAACAATATTCTATCTTNATAACAATAATAATAATAATAATAATAATAATATTAATAATAATTATCTGGCCAGCAGTATTTACAAAATACAATCACAAACACTAATGTAAATTCTTAGAAAAGATCATGATTATTTCGATTACATTTAGGCAATTATAAAAATATATTTTGGTACGCGGTTTTCGATGGGTATAATATCATGGTAAGGAGCTTTGTACTATACAATCTATTTTCAGAATTCTCATATCCTAAGAATGTCGATGAAAATAATGACTGAACTAACAATTAGAAAATGAGCATTTATGTACAATGACTTACTCGTGAGAGTATTGAGTATGAAGTAAAATAAAATTGTAGTGAAAAGAGTAACAACGGGGATTCACGGCTAAACAGCATAATTTAGTCATCATTAAGGTATACTTTTGATTTTATCATTTTCACAGCTAAGGCTTTGATGCCATCTTTGTCTGTAACGAAAGAAAAAAAAATTACACAACTTTTTATTCCTCTGGGTCAAAAATTTTGTATCGGCTAAACATTTTACCATGAATCTTTTTGTCCAGCACATCCAGATGAATTTTTTTGAAAATGCTTTTGAATTTTGTGGCATCCGGAATATACGGACTGACATAGTACTCCTGTACAATTGGTTTCAAGATGTAAAAAGTTTTTCGGTGAATTTTAACGGACTCTGGCGTTTTGACTGTCGAAGCGTCGTTTTGCGTCCTTAGACGTTTGACATCTTGAGACGGATCACTTTGATTCTCGAGCTCATCCGAATGCGGACGCTTGTGAGAACTCGAGGAAATTCTACTCTGCACTGGACTATCTCCACCTAGTTTACTTATCACAGGCTCGCTTGATCCGTCCCTCCTCATACTATTTCTGATAGCTGACTTCATCAGTCCCTCGTCGCCACTATTTTCTGAGGATGAATCGTTGCCGAAAAAATGCGATGCTTCATTTTTTAGTTTACACCTAATAGGAACTTTTGGTTTAAAAGAATTTGTTTTGGGTACGGCGTGAGCGACTTTTTTGTATTCTTTGGGCTTCTCAAAACAATCAAAATCATATTCTTCCTTTAATCTTTTGTCGATCGAACTGAGAAAAGGTATTTCTTTTTCCCTGCAAGGCTCTTTTTTCTGATTAGTACTGTCAATTCGGTCCATCGATTTTGCTTGTTTGGAACCTGTCGCAAAGAAATCAGTTATAGCACGACTGTTAGTTTTCTTTCTTAAATTTTCACGCGTTTTATTTGCATTGAGTTTTGCTACTTCGCCAGCTGTTTTGAATCCGTTGAGAGAAAACGAACTAGAAACACTAGATGTTGAGTTGGTCTTTGCAGCTTCAGTACTGGTTTTATTGCTCAAATTTTCAACTTTACTAAACATTTGAAAATCGTTTATTTTCAAGCCATTCAGTGGATTTGGAGATTTTAACTGCTCGTTCATTATGTGATAGTAATCTTCTTCTCCCTGGTGTTGATTACCCAACTTTGCAGAATCTTTGCATTGTTCTGGCGTTGTCCCCCGTTCCAATTTGTCTTGGGTCTTGTTTTCATTCATTTTAGAGAATTCCAAAGCTGTTTTGAATCCATTACAAGGAACTGTCGTGGGTATACTGGCAGGTGGGTTTGTAGTAGCTGTTTTATTGATAAAAAGTCCAATGTTTTCTGACGGTACTCTCGAATTTCTTATCCTTTTCATTTCAAGGGCAGTCTGGAATTCATCACAAGAAGATGATAAGGACTCCGGATCTTCCAAGCCTGAGAAATCGATACCCAGTTTTTCTAGGCTTTCCGCTTCTTCGGAGAAATTTTTTTTCTCACTTTTTAAATCCTTACACAATTCGAAGCTTTTGGTGCTATTTTGTATCTGAGAAACCTAAAACTCGAAATTAGAAATGAAACAGAAAATTTTTTTTATCACCTGCACGTATACTGTTAAAATTGACAACCTTTTGTGCTGCCAAAAACTTGTACCGTGAAATTACTTTGGTACTACAAATTATGTTGTACTCCACGTTTCGAGCAATGTCGTTGATTTTACTTGCGGATAACTGCTCTTCACTCTCGTTTTTACAAGTTTCGTAATTTTTCATTAAAACATCGTTAATTCTACAGTAAAAATGTTCCCGCAACTGAAAATAAAAATACAAATGATATTTTTTTTTCACATGTTTCATAACAGCTGTTCAAGTTATTCATTATTTTTTTATGTATGATTGAATACAGATTTTTTTCAACAGCTTTTTAGGCACGTGCATTTAGAGTACAATAAACGTACATCAACAGTCAATCCCTTAACTTTTATGTCAGTGCTTGCGGCTGCAATGACAGATGACATTTTGGCACTCTCTTGATTAATTTTTCTTATCTAAAACAACATTTGGGCTTACAAAATGGCAAGTAACAAGTTGTGAAATTATAATTTGAAGTGAGAATCACCTCAAGTTCTTTGGATTTTTTGCCTCTTCTCAATTCAAACTGTTCATTGATTAGCTTTCTTTCTTCGAGTTTCGCTTGCTTTTCCAATTGCTTTCTATGTTCACTAGAGTCTCCAGAATCGCTGTCATAGCCGCCTTTCCCATACCCTCCTCTACAAGTAAAAGACTGTTATGACTTTTATCAACTTGTAAGTGAATTATTCAAACCACTTTAGAAAGACATACCCGTCTTCATATTTTTCCAGGCCAAAACTTTCAAAATGCTCCGAATGCTTTGGTTTAGGACGGTTGGAAGATTCAAACAGCGAAAGTCGTTCCCTAACACTATCTTTGTTCTTGCAAACATCACATCTGTTTACACATTGTGGTTCTGGATCTCCAAAATATTTAGAAAATACAGAATGTCTGCACCTAAGAAACGCATAATTTTACGATACGTTGCAATAACAGCGTTCTTTAACATTAAATCTAGTAGATCTTTAGTATGATTTTACATTTCATATGACTGATAGTATTTTGTATTAAAGTAATTAACAATTAACGAGACAATCACTCACTTTAACGAGGTGAAACTATCTACAATTTGCTTGAATGCTTTGATTTTATTTTCTTGAAAATTTTTTCTGCTCTCATGTTGGGCATCAGTCGTCTCTTCCACAGCATTTTGACAGAGGAAATTTAAGGCATTGTGTTCTTCACGGCTAAAGTACACTCTACAATATGATTGTTTCCCATCTCGGCCAGCTCTACCCGACTCTTGGTAGTAACTTGCTATTGCTTGTGGAATAGTCCAATGTATAACAAACCTCCAAGTGTAAGAATACAAGTTAGAATTGATAGTACAAACGTTGGTTGAACAAGATTTGTTTTTCTTTAAATAAACTTACCTGACAGATGCTTTGTCCACTCCCATACCAAAACTGCAAGTCGCAGCAATGACTGGAACCACCCCAGAAGTCCAAGAATCTTGAACATCTATTCTTTCTTTGCTTTTCAAACCTAAGCGAAACAACGTGATATTTGCAACCAAGTTTTTTTTCTACATTAAAAACTTTTCAAAATGGCTTACCAGCGTGATATGCTAACGTTTGAATACCCATGCTACTCAATTTTCTTGCCAATGATTCAGTCGTCTCTTTTTTCCTGCAGTATATTATACCACAATTTTTTTTCTCCTATCAAGCAAAACCAAATAAATAATAGTGAATTTTCCTTTACATAGTGGGAAAAAGTTACCTTGGGAAGAGAGTCATTGTCTGGTCCTAGGGATTCTTTTATGAATCTTTTCAAATGCTCTACTGGATCAGCTTGTATAGCATCGATGAACCAGACGTCGTAAAATAGATTGGAACGAAAAACTGGAGTAGAAAATATCAGTGGACTATTCATTCTTAACGTTTTAAAAATATCTTCTTTTACCTTTAGAATATCATCAGTAAAATTAAACTCATGAAAATTAAGAACTGCTTATTATTTATCAGTATATTTCAAAATTAATGTACCTCCTTAGAGGCGGTAGCAGTTAATGCCACGATTGGCACATCAGGCTTCTTCTCCCTCAAAGTGACAAGCTTTCTGTAAGAGGGTCTAAAATCATGACCCCATTGGCTAAGGCAATGTGCCTCATCAATGACAAAGTAAGACAGTGCACTTGGTTTAACTTGGCTTAACATAAACTGGAAACAGCGACAAATGTTTCTTATTAATCTAGATGACCAGATCAAAGCTTTGTTTCCCATTTGTTACCTGAAAATTTGATGTGTCACATTGCTCCGGAGTCACATAGAGCAACTTCATCTTTGGCTTACTCGACAACATATCTGTTTTTATGGCTAGTCTCATGTTTTTTGTAGTCTTGCTGTTTAATGTCAGTGCCAAAATATTTTTACTACTCAAATAATCGATTTGATTCTAAAAACATGAATAAAAGTTAGCCAAGTTTTCATAAGTACAATTAAACTCCATAAAAGATTTGTGTTGGCAAAGACCTTGACAAGTGCTATGAGAGGTGAAATAACAATTGCAAACGAGTTTTCTTTTGCAACTGCTGGCAATTGAAAGCACAAAGATTTCCCAGACCCCGTAGGCATACAAACGTACACATCCTTGTCACCTGAAGGAGCATTTGAAAATTTTTTATCATTGTATATTAAAAAATTAAATCGACATAAATGAGTATAGGTTTTAAAGGGGTACAAAAAAAAATTCAGATACAATGAACGAGATTTGTTGCTCAAAAAAATAAACATATAAATTTTATCAATAAACCATTAAAAAACAGATACTTACTAGAAAAATGCTAAAGAAGGAAGAGAAATAAATCGAATGTACGAGACAACAGGGTATTATATAAAATGAAAAGATCATGCCCAAGTTAACCTAATCCTAGGATGGTTTACCGTTGTAAACGGCTTCCGCCGCCTTTCTCTGCAAATCACTTTTGTAATCATCGTGGCCAAATTGACTCTTTAATTTGGCTCTCAATCTAGCCTCCGGAAAAATTGTGTTACTCATCAAGAATTTGAAAAAACTATGTAGGAACTTCTATTATAAGTACTTCGTAGAGATGCCAGTCAAAGCATGTTGAAGAAAAAAACAAACACTGTAAACGGGCAACGAGTGCGGCGTGAAATCGCGAGCATGATACACGCGCACTTTCACACAAGGGCCATTCTACAATGTTCACTCTGATTGTACTGCAATGCCTGCAATGCAATTTGTAATACGTGTTACGTGTACACTCATACACTGTACCCTTTGAACAATATCACAATAATATTATATGGTACCCCAAGTACTATGCGATCATACTTGACTTTAGATTTTAAAAAATTAATAGCTATTAATAATTGTTAATAATAGATTATATTTATTGTTTTATATTTTACATCAGATAAAAAAAAACAATAAAAAACAATTAAAAAAAATAATTTTTATGGGCATAGTTGTACCGTTCAATCTCGGGAACAAAAAAAATTAATAACCAATAATAAGTATTTAAAAGTTTTAATAACAACTTGTGACAGACAATTCTGGATAATAAGTCTTATTACTTGTCTCAAATCTAGACATTAAAAACTGTTATTATTTTTTTATATTTTCAACTAATTTTTAAAAATAATTATTACCAACTTATCAAACAAAATTATTTCCGCTTGATTGTAAGCAAATACAACTCAAATATTTTTTTACGAAATCCATTTACGAAAAAATGTACGTACTTTATAAACTTTTTAAGTATGAGATAAACTAAGTTTTTTTTGTGAAATCTTTCCGATGCACGTAGGCCCCCCTAACATTTTCCGTTTTTGGCTCTAGACCATCCACTTTTTTTTGTAACCCCTGCCTGTCTCTTACGTATCAACTGATTTGGCTAAAAAATGCACGTATTAACGCCATGGTCAATATTTAAAGAAGAGCAATTCAAATCCAACCCCTTTCGCTTCGCAAATCCCTCGGGCCACAAAATAGCCCCGAAGACAATGGCACTACTTATTATTTAAAAACTACTTTTTTTTTTTGCATTCCGTGCAAAGTAATTTACTGGAAGCAAAGTGTGCCCATGTGTGCCAAATTGCTTTTTTTGCCCTCAATTCGCTCCGAGCCGATACAGAAGTTGCGCCCCCTCTAGCCAAAATCAGGCAACATTTCTTGCATGTAAACAAACGGTTTAGAACATATATACATACGTATAGCTGCTTGTGATTGGCTGAATAAGACAGCAGGAGAGGATCGTCGTTCTCTCTCTAGCTTGCCAAGAGCCAATCACAAGCAGCTGTACGTATGTATATATGTTCTAAACCGTTTGTTTACATGCAAGAAATGTTGCCTGATTTTGGCTAGAGGGGGCGCAACCTCTGCATCGGCTCGGAGCGAATAGGGAATAGTATATTACTCACCTAGGGAGGAAAAATAAAGATGTCACAGGTTGCAGGCAATTGATGATAAGCATGCGATCTGAGGGATTCTTTGTTTCCTCCCGTGGGTTGTATACGATTTTTCATCAATCCTGCACCGAGAGCGAGAGATGGGATTTTCGTTCCGCGAAGAGGGACGTAAGTTCCTACTTTCGGCGCTATGAAGACAAATACCATACTTGACTCGGGCAAAAGCCTCCAGGCGCTCATGTTTGTATGAGACAGCATCGATGTAGATCATTTTCGAGGTCGCTCTTTCCAATGGTGCAATCCATATTTTTCTAACGTCTTATTTTTCAACAATTTTTTGCAAATAAAGTAAAATTTACTGTTTCTCAAGTTAATTTTCTCGATAACTTAATTATTCCATTGTTAAGTCGGCGCAACGTACTATTAGAGCCTATAAGCTTTCGCTTAATAACTCGGGACTCACACTGGGCGCGTAGGTGGGACGCGGGGTTAAAGGGGTAGTTCAACTTAACGACGCGGTACTCGAAAAGGGGCTACGACTGCTTTCACGCGACTAAGACCGACTGCTGTGCAATATTTCGATGCACTTGCTTGNCTTTATTGGCTACTATGTGTACGATCACGACAGTAGATTTTTACTGACACTTCGAAGGTACAAGCTAGAATTGGAAGCCAACACTGAACTAACTTGTAAGGCAAGGACACACGGGCTTAAATACCCAAGTCGTTGTTACTTTCTTCTGTGAAAGGGATCGTAAATCCATTTGCTGTTCTCCCTTAGAAAGCGCTTAAAGTTTAGTAGATTCTGTGAAATAATATCATGGTAACCAATGGGTGCCAATACTATGGCGAGTAATGGCGTTCGCGCAAAAAAAAACACTTTATATTTCCCGGTGATCCACGGGTACCAATATTATAGCGAGTAATGGCGTTCGCGCAAAAAAAAACACTTTATATTTCCCGGTGATCCACGGGTACCAATATTAGACGAGTAATGGCGTTCGCGCAAAAACACTTGATTTTTCCCGGTGATCCACAGGTACTAATATTATAGCGAGTAATGGCGTTCGCGCAAAAAAAAACAACTTGATATTGCCGGTGATCCACGGGTACCAATACTATTGCAAGTAATGGCGTTCGCGAAAAACACTTTATATTGCCCGGTGATCCACGGGTACCAATACTAGACGAGTAATGGCGTTCGCGCAAAAACACTTGATTTTTCCCGGTGATCCACAGGTACCAATACTAGACGAGTAATGGCGTTCGCGAAAAACACTTTATATTGCCCGGTGATCCACGGGTACCAATACTAGACGTAATGGCGTTCGCGCAAAAACACTTGATTTTTCCCGGTGATCCACAGGTACCAATACTAGACGAGTAATGGCGTTCGCGCAAAAACACTTGATTAATTGATTTTTCCCGGTATCCAAGGGTACTAATATTACAGCAAGTAATGGCGTTCGCGCAAAAAAAAACACTTTATATTTCCCGGTGATCCACGGGTACCAATACTATGGCGAGTAATGGCATTCGCGCAAAAAAAAACACTTGATAGGAAGAAAGAATCTTTAGAAATTGGATAACTTGCCACTTACTTTTATTTAAAAGGGAAAACTTGGTACAGGCGTTAAACCAGCGTAGACAGAAACCGTGCTCGAAGAAGATCAAGTGGCAGTAGTACTGTCTTTAAAGAAATTACCTTCTTCTTGAAAAAATACTTAATATTAAGGACTTATCAAGGTTATCAGTGAGATTTTAAGGTTTTTTAGACAGTTATACGAGTCTCTTTTGTTTGATGTATTAAATTTATTGATTTCTAAGTACAAGTTGTAAATAAAATTCTTAATTAAATAATTTCGTAGTCTTAATCGATAAAAATACAACTTGCTCAACACATTGTTAAATTTTGAATGGTGCATATTTTTTATAATTAAACTGCTCGCACGTGATAGTAAATATATGCATATTTACATACTTGAGTTTGAAGAAAAAGAATAACGCAAAAGTAAGGAAAATCATCTCGTTTACAAATTAAAAAGGTCACGTTTTGAAGCGATAGAGTAGCTTAGATATTACTGGAAAGACTTAGGTCATGCGTAGTTTAATTATTACATGTTATAAAATGGTACGTGTCAGCTAGATTTTCGAATGGATACCAAAGTTCACGCTCACATTTTATTCTTAACGGCACACACGTTTAACAAGGATATTAGAGGGATTAAAATTACTTGTAGATCTATTTTCCAAGTTAAAAAAAATTATGCTATTTAACAAATATCAGATTCTTTGAACGTTGCAAAGGATCGTGTCACACTCTATAGTTAAAACTACCGTAAAAGTTTTGCAGCAGATCGCGTTTGTACTGTTGCAATTACTGTAGCCGCTGTACTTGTAGATGCTCAGATTGAATGTGTAGTTGCTGATGCTGCTGGGGCTGTTGCATCAACTGTACCGGTGAATGCAGTTGTTGCCGAAGCTGTTGCAGATGCATCAGTTGCTCTCGTTCAAGCACATTCAATTGGAATCTACAATTATTCGAAAAGTTTACCAAAATTTGTCCAATGCCGTTGTTTAAAAAATATAATTTAAAAAAAAATTAATGACTAACTGTTATATTTCTGGCAATTAGAAAAATTAATTATTAAAATGGTAAGAACTTAATCTGCGCGTTTTTTTAGTTGAATTAAAAGTTTAATGCCGACTCTTGTCGTGTAATCGTCTAATTGGCCCAATGGCGGTGCATTAACGACTTTTTCCGACGACTTACTTTTTTCTTTTAATTTGTAAGAACTCGAGTTTCTGTTTAACGTTTACATAATAGCGCTCTTTTAACGATAGGTCAAGTGTCAACTGAGCAATATTTACGACAAAATTGAAAGTTAATTTTATGTAGGATATCATAGTAAAATTGATACACGATGTATGTATGTACAGTAATAAACCAAAGACGAAAGAATTTTTCTAGCTAACTAGCATATACTTTTATTTTTTTGTCCATGTTTTATTTATCTATACATTATCCTGTGGATACTGGTGATTTAACATTTTTTTAATTTCCAACACAGTTTGTGACTGTTTTTATTCCGCATTACATCAGTATAGTTCTAACAGCAATAATAATAATACATTAAGAGAACGTTCGCGTGTCATGTTTTGAGCGAAAGTACGAGATGGAAGTTTCATATTTCAATGCTATTTACTTTGCATAAATTTGAAGGATCAAAATGAAATCTCGTATTACCTGGCATAATTATAAGCAGCCAAATTGTCGTACAAAACACTGGCTCGAGTCGAAAGTGCCAGGGCTCCAGAGCTCGTGGGATGCGGCATCCGTTCCAGAACTCCAAGCTGTTGAGTTGCCGGAAGGTATGGATGCGGCAACGGATTTCGCTGCACTTCAGAAAAATACATTGGCCGTCGGGGTATCGGTTTATGTAGCACCTGCTGATGGGGAACAAGCGTTTGCTGATGATGAAACGGAGGCAACGGCTTTTGCGGACCGTGTGATGGCAGCTCGCCTTGGAGCGATTCGGGGACACCGACGGCGCCCAACTGGCTTGGCGTCGCCGTGGATGGCAGCGATGTACTGTTTTTACCATTAGGGCCACTTTCGTTGTCTTTCTTGAACTTCATCCTACGATTCTGGAACCATATTTGCACCTGAAGTTCCGTGAGCTCCAACTGTTGCGCCACGAGGAATCGATGGGACCGGCTCAAATACTTAGTTGTCTCAAATATCCGTTCGAGCGAGATAATCTGCGGCGTTGTGAATATCGTCCTGTTCCTTTTCTTTGCACATTCGTCTAGAAATATCAGAACATGCATATTTTAAGTTTCCAAATATTTATTTGACGCAAAATAATTATATAAGTATGACGTTTACCTTTCGGTTTCTGATCTTGTGGCTTGTGCTCCCCAGCAACGTCATTTAGTTGTTCTGAATACCGCATCTCCATTATGTCCTGGACGAAATCCTTATACTTTAAAGTCAGTATATTACTCCAATTCTACAGAGGTACGGATCTTCAGAAGAGGCTCTGATGATTTAATAAACTTTATTGGCTACTATGTGTACGATCACGACAGTAGATTCTTACTAACACTTCGAAGGTACAAGCTAGAATTGGAAGCCAACACTGAACTAACTTGTAAGGCAAGGACACACGGGTTTAAATACTCCAGTCGTTGTTACTTTCTTCTATGAAAGGGATCGTAAGTCCATTGGCTGTTCTCCCTTAGAAAGCGCTTAAAGTTTATTAGATTCTGTGAAATAATATCATTACCAATTGGCGCCGGTACTTACCTATGTGAAACTGACGATTACCGTATGACGAATACTGTGTGAGTAATGACTTTAGCATATGACTGTATCGACGTATATCGTTTCCGAGAAGGCCCCTTTTTCTAATAGTGCCATTTAAATTTTTCTAACGTCCTTTTTATTCAAAAAATTTGTGCAAGTTGATGTAAAAAATACTCTTTGTGAATATAATATCGAAAAAATTTATTAGTTTGTGTTAAACAAGATGATAAATTGTAGCTTAGTTATCATAATTACATTTTTTCCATCCTTGTTTTTCATTTTAAGTATATTTTTTCCAATGCTTTCGCTAGTATTCATCTTGCGTTTTTATTTAAATCAGCCTCTCCTATCTTTTTCTACAACTTTCATTACATAGTTGGACTAAAAAGTTAAATGATACATAAGTAGAATTGGTACAATCGAGAAACTGACTTCCTTACTATTGTTAGGGAGTGGGTATGGAAAGTCATTGAAAATTCGAGCCAAGGGATGAGTCGTTTGAGGGAAACTCCTTGCTGTCCGTATAAATTTCACCCGCGGCGCCTCATTGGGTCTCCATTGGCCAGTAAATTTCAAAAACGCACTGTAGGCGATGGAAAAAGATAACAAGGGGACATTACTAGGGACACGCATGTATATCTGTGAGCCCAATCGCCCATTTGCATCATAAAAGTACCAATACTCGTTAAACTTTGCAGAACGTGTGTCGCATCGTGCACTACTTTTATCACCATTTCGAAAAAATTGTTGATGAGTTTATCGGTTTATATGTACATTTGTCGTTTCTTCAGGTCTTTGTATTTGCAAAAAATAAAACAGTTGTCCCATCCGTCACACATACAAGCGTAACCAAATTAACTTTGTTGCTTTCCAGGCTAAGTGCGATTCGAGAAAAAAGGGACTCTTTAGAAAAAAGTACGAGATGCTCACGGCCCTGCAGTGGCACTCGAATGCCTCGGTCGACTCGATCTCGTCGGATGTACAGGCAATAAGCAGTTTAAATTACCATGATTATTGTTTTATTTCATTTGAAACCTGATATTCGCCTGGACGATGTTTGTTGGTTTTATCGCCATGTCAAACTTAATATTCTACGACGCGTACAACTCGAGGGGCTTTTCACCAAACCGCATGCACGACAAGTACGCATCAGTACTTACCTATACATAAGTTTGCGAGGAGTGCGATGAGTTCAAATGAGTGCTGGGCTTTAGAGAGTTCGGTTGAGAACTTTGCAGTGCGGAAGAGTACGCATGAGTTCGTAAGGAGTACGGGAAGTTCTTATCGAGTATTTACAAATCAAAAGATGTCCCGTAATTTTCAATTCTACTAAACCGTTCTAATTCATTTTCAAGAAAATCATTGTTATAATGCAACAAAGATAATCACCAATCGCAAGTATTAATTTGTGTTAACATATGAACATACGTAATTTAGGTTTTTAAAATAAAATATTTTAAAACATCCAACGTTGGATATTTAGTTTATTTTGAAATGTAAAAATCAATTATAACAGTAGAGATTACATGTGTTATTTGTTGCTTAAAAAGTTACAGCACAGAAGGAAAGTGTTACTGCCACAATTAAAAGTAGATGTGAAAGAAAGAAGGCGACATTCTATTTATTGAATTGCGTTTCAACGTACAACAAAAATAACATACCTACTCAGTATTTTTTTAGCACTAGTAATGAAAATATTTTAATACAAAAATATGTGTTTAATAAATGCCATGACGATAAAAATGTTTTGAAACAATTTTTATTACAAAGTATAATACAAAATTTCTTAAAATACTTACTTGTAATTTCAATCATTTGTAATTGCAAATACTAATCTCTCAACGAATACGTTTTGATTATAAAAATTTGCGAACGTTTTCATAAACATCATTACTTACGTATAATAAGTTGTTTTTTTTCAATGGCGCTGGGATAGTAATTTTGTACTTTTCAATTGAATGATAACCATGTACTGATAATTCGATCAATTTTAGAGTTTTATTTTTTTATTATCTTCCACACGAACGAAATTTTTTTTATTATCTTTCTTCGAACTTGTTTTTTATTATTATCTTCCACAGTCTCATCATTAACAAACACTTTTGCGAATGTTTAAGAATATTCAATTTTTTTCCAACTAGTCTCATTCATATATAGGCACAACCAAGAACAAAACCTAATAAACATTTTTCAGTATTTTCAGTTTCAAACAAACACCAGTCTAAAACACGTACAGTGTCCAGAGTACAGGCTTTGAATATTTTTTCATGATCGTAATATTTTGCTGTCGGATTGCAACTTTGGACGGGAATCAATCGATCGTTGCTTAATTTTTCTACGTCTTGATTAAATAAGTAACAAACTGATGATTTTCTAATGGTTTTCATACTACCATCTGACTCTTTTATTTTTAACCAAGGATCATTTTCTGTTATGTTTTTATGTTGAGCAGAATAATCCTTTAAATCAACATTACCGAAAAAATCTGGTATTTTTTCATACTCCTCCAAGTACTCTTCAAAACTTCTTTCAAGAACAACTTGGCTTTTTTTTTATGTACGCATACTAGCTCATCATCCATGAGTTCGATTTTTCGTACTCACTGCAAAATGTGCGTACACTCATCAAAACTCGCGTTCACCATCAAGCACTCATGCAAACCCTTTCAAGTGGAGAGTTCGTGTGAGTACTGAAGAGCACTGAAGAGTCCTAAGAGTACAAAAGCCCCTCGGTACAACTTGACATTTGTTTGATGATTCCTACTTGATGAATACTGTTATTCAATAAACTAAATTAATGTACTGTAAATTGTAGCGAAGGTGTACTTCAACTTTTTGGAGGTAAATGCAGGATTGCAATAATCGATTTTGAATTTTTTACCGCACGTTTGTCTCTCGATTTGTTAGTACGTGATAGGTTCGCTGCTTGTGCACTTAATCGATACTATCATATAATAATATGTGTAACATCTCAAGTGTCTGATACAATAAAATTCTCGCTTTTACTCAATATCTACACGCTTGAATATTTCGTTTGACATATATGACTAGCATTTTTTGATGTATGATATTCCTTAGACTTGCTCTTAGTTTTTATTTTTGGTAAGACATAATTTACAAATTTGGGAGATTGTAATATTATTTTTTCGGGCTGAAAAAATCTGAAAAAATTGCTGCAACATCCTCGACCTTCGTAGAGTGCAAAACATTTAAATGTTAACGTCAAATTTCAATTACATGAATTTGTGATAATATTTTCCGTTGTAACGCTCAATTTTTCAGTTTTCGTACCTGCCACTTTAACACCTGAGGGACAGATATCAATTTTGTAATCGTTCAGATTAGAATTTTTCATTTATTTATTTTCAAGCTGAAATCCCGTTGAAAGATTCTACTTTACTATATATAGCCCCAAAGAATAATAAGGTATCAGTCACGTGACAATAAATCTTTATGATAGGAGGTTTTTAAATTATATTCTTTGTCTTGAGTGTTTATATTTGTCGCTGTTGCAACTGTAAAATTAAATAAACTCCAACGAGTAAAATGTGGAATTGATAGAATCATCTGGACAGGGATATTAAATTAATTAATCAAAACGTATGAATTGTAACTTTTCATTAGAAGTATAGCTAATTTTATATTTTTGCATAAAAATATTTACGTGCGTTACATAAGTTAACGTATTTGTAAATAAATTAAAGTTTCTTATGCTACAGTAAAAGGCGTTTTGATTCACTCACAAAAATCGAGAAGAATAACAATTTTTTTCCTTATATTAAAATAGTTTGGTTTAAAATATCTGTAACTATTAGTCATTTAGAGGACACAACTGTAAAATTATATTTTAAACGACTTCATAATTTTGTTTATTATTTTTCATACTAATCCTACACGTATATGTTTTTATCACGGATAATTTTATCTTGCAAGGATTGTTTAATACATTTAATAAATTTTTAATACATTATAATTTTAATTGGATTTGTTGGAAAAAATGCCATTTAACAAGACAAACGGATTTTTTCTCTTTTTCATCAATTTAGGATGAAACTCAAGTGACTTTAAGAATCTTTCCCCAATAATGATAGCTACAAAATTCCTAATCACCAGAAAATTTCAGTTTTAATTAGTCAATGCACCAAAATGTAAAAGCAATCAGTTAATACATCCATCTACTCTTTTTCAAAATATAAATAAAAAAATTGTCTTATGTTATAATGATCGCTTAAAAATTATCATTAGTATATAGTTACCTTTGGCTTCTGCAACAGACATCGGTTTTTTAGAAAACGTTTTCTAATACTACTGTGAATTTTTCGAATTTTTGATAATGGTAGAACAGGTCCAAAAAAATTAGAAACTGCGATTTTCGGCATTTTTCCGCATTCTCACTGCGACAAATAAATGCAGAAAAAACGCCGAAAATTGTTTTTAATTTTTTTTTTTTAGACCTATTCCACTACTTTTAAAAATCTAAAAAAAAGTTAAGAGTTAGAAAAAAATGTGTTTTGTTTAAAAAATGTTTTCGTTGTATCCATATAAAAAATGTTTTTTTATGGAATTTTTAAATTTAAAACATCTTTGAAAATTTTAATTTGGCATCAAATAATTTCACAAAATTTCTGTATATTTACCCGCGGCGCCTCATTGGGTCTCCATTGGCCAGTAAATTTCAAAAACGCACTGTAGGCGATGGAAAAAGATNGAAATTCAAACCAAAATAATAAAAGAATTGAAGTAGTTCAAATAAATTTTATTTTCTTCAAGAAGAGAATCCAGAAACAAACAAATTTAAGTCATGTAGAATCAAATTCTGTCCCCAAAATCTTAACATATTGTGATGTTCTGCATACATAATTTAACGTACACCCAGACATATTTTTTTCAAGAACATGTACTATTCTAACACATAAAGTTTATGTGTACTCAAACATACGACAACCCACACTAAAATTTAGTTTTGTTTCAACAAAATTCATGATTTTACTATGAATAATTTTGTATACAAAAGTTACCAAACTTTAATATTTTAGTAAGAGTATCAAGGCACGAGAAAAATTTTACGGACTACTTTTGGATACGCTACATGCAGTTATAACTATAGAGTATTATAAAGGTAGTATAAGCAATAAATGACAACAAATTTCATGACTGGAATATAAAATTCTTTATTAAAGAGATGTACTTATTTGTATTCAGGGACCTAAGCTATGTTTTTCTTGTTTTGGCGACAGTTCGTGTTTAGTCGAAAAAAAAGGTAAGAGCGAAAATATAAAAATCTGGAGTAGTAATTTATTACAAATGTGTCGCAAAACTGCATCGTTGGTTCTTAGTACAAATTCGCACTTAGTTGTCTGAAATAAAATATAAGAAAACGGAAAAATATTACATTTCATGTTTTTTGTCGTTCAATACATACGTAAAATTTACACACAGAAGGAAGCTTCTAAAACGACGCTTGTTTTCTGCTAATATAAGAAAAGGCTCAGTTTATATTTTTGCCAAGCGCTAGTTTCTCTACTTAATAAAAATTAAGGGATTTGAAAAATTTTTTTTTTGTACATATTATAATCACGCAAATATTATCTTTATTAAAAAATACGTATCACGGCTTTGTCATTTGATAAAAATATTCAAACACGAAATTGAATAAAATCGCGAGAAAATAAAATGTGACAATAAATAAAAATACGAGCGCTCAGAAATATTAGCAACTGAGATCTTCTAGAGCCCTTTTAAAGGGCAAATACAGTAAAAAGTATAATTTAGTGGTCATAAAAATGACTTTTTTCCCACGTTGATTATTATTTTTTTTTTTTTTGCTCCTCTCACAAATTTCGAAATCACATTTTTGTACTTTTCGCAGTTTGTTTAACGATCGCGTTAGCTCACCCGATTATCAACATGTTTGTGTCTCTAAAATACTAACGACTTATAATTAATCGACGAGCCCTCATATCTCTTACACTTGAAAATTATAAAACTAACACTTTATTGTTAATCGCTAGTTCGATTGTTTTAAAGTTAATTGCAGTCTTTTTTTTTTAGCGCACGATTTTTATTTTCAATGAATTTTTCTTCACTCGTTTCGGCGTGATTCTACGTATTGTAAATTGTGTGTATGGATACAATTGTGTGTGCGGGTACGTGCGTGCGCGCACGTGTTTTGAGAATCCCTTATTTAATACGCCTTGTTTTGAATGTCTTTTGTTCTCTTTTCGTCAATAACTGCAGCTTTTCTCTTTTTTTATAAGTTTTTTTTTTGTCTTTTCTTTTTCTTTTTCATTTCCATCACATTATTAAGTAGGTGTCTACATTATTACATAAAACAAAGTACATTTCTTGGGGCTCTGATGGTGGTGGTGAATGGTTGTGCAATACTTGAGAGAAAACTTTAAATACTCAAGTTCCTTGACATAACAGCTGCTCCGTTACAAAAAGTTATTTAAACGTAGTTTGTACATACGGATACACATAATCAATATATTTTACAGCCAAAAATGATAACCTTTAGAATAAACATACAGGAATTAAATTTGTTCTCTTAAAATACTTCGATGTATTATTAAAAATTTTAAATTATGAATTTGAGCATAAGAATAAAAAATAAAAAAAACAATTGATGATGCGAATGTGTAAAATACCGATGATCGTAAAAATTACCATAAAAACAAAATATTAATCCTTAGTCAGCTGTTATGTACAAGTTGGAAGATTGTCTCAAGTGTAACCATCTCAAGACTGCACATGTATTTCATTATATTTAACCATAAGACTTTTGTACGAACATTGATGAATTTTCAAAGGGTATCTTATCTTACAGTAGACCTATTTTAATTCTCAACCTGAAGGATGACAACGTCGAAGAAGAAAGCGCAGAATAGTATGTGTTCAGAAAAACGAGAAATGCTTTTTGTAAGTGGTATTGCGACTAGCAAAAACTGGCTTTAATATAAAATACATTAATAACATTGTTTATTATGATTTTTACGGGACGTTTGTTCACTGTTTTTGTTTGCAGCACTAATTTTGCGTCCAATAAATTATATGATAAATATACAAAAGTAAATTGAAATATTCCTCGTTCTGTATATACAGCAAAAAAAAAAAATCAATATTTAACAATTTCATTCTTTGACTAATATTTAATTTTTCTTCTCAATTCATACGGTTGAGACGATATCGACTTAAAAACATTATTATCAATTCATTTTATAACTTAAACATATGATTGCAGGAGAAAAACAAAGATTTCATAAAAATACGAGTTTATGATAGATATAAAGTACCTAATCATCTTCTCATGCATTCATAGTTTAATCTGCCCATTTTTATGTGGGCAATAGCTTAGTATTTATATAGGTATATTTCAGAAGTTAAAAATTAGCTTTTAAAAACTTGAAGCTCGTTTCATGAGTTGAATTCATATACAATCACGTAAAGCTCCTTAGAAAAGTGAACTATTAAAAAAAAATATATATATATTTTTTGTTCATAACAACAACTTCTGAAATATTATTGTATTAATACTCAATTATAACATAATCTTTTTTTTTTATTTTTTAGAATCCGCATGTCACTATAATTATATTTGATTTTTTTTGTCGTTTTTGTTCAACTAATACACGCGAAAATTATATTATTTTTTCTTGATTTTTTCATATCGTTTATACTTTTTTTTAATTTTTTTCTGTGTATTTGGTAGACATATTTTCATACATATATATTTAAGATAAAATATACCTAAATACTTCAACAGTGGACGAGAGTACTATTTCTTTAAACCACTGTAACATCTTATCACATTCATCTCCATTGTTTCTAATTTATTATCTCATTCTTTTTTTTACGATTCATTTCCTCTCAAAAGTTTGTCAAATTAATGATACTTTATCGCATTCACAGCTCAAATTACAACTACCTGTCCAGCAAGGACGATTACCAAACAAAACTGTACTTTTGCCGTATCAAGTACTGCTTATTGTAAAAAAATAGGATGAACTTTGTAATTGAACGGCTGATGAGTTTTACAGATACAAAAAACTTGAATGCCACTGGACTACTGTGTCCTAAAAAAAAAAAAAAAAAATGAAAAACACAGTTCTTACGTTTCCATAAAAGTAAAGTGTTTCAACCAGTCTTTAAATTTAGTAATCACCTTTCTTCGACGAAAATGCTCCTCTACACCTAGCGCCGCTTGTGCATCTGTCGGCTTTGGAAATTCTCAAGGCCTGGAATGTTTTGCAGGCCTTGGAAACCCTGGAAACTCTGTAGACGCGCAAATTTCCGGTTCCTCCTGTAAAAATTACCATTTTCGTAACCTCCTTGTTATACGCAAGACTAGTCAAAAATCGTGACGACCCACAACGTACTTGTTTATCTTTTTGGGTGACGGATTCTCAGCGATCGAGGGCAAAACGGAGGTGAGTTTGTCGGTCGGCCGCAGCAAACGCGCCGTTCGGGACGACAATTTCCAAATGAGCCTTTGCTTGTACGGCGTGTGCTGTTGGCCGTTGTACTTTCTCAGGATTGCACTCACAGATTCGTGCGTCGCAACAAAGTTTGCATCGGAGATCTGACGATGAAAATTAAAAATCAAGATCCGATGCGACGACAAACAACGAAAAAAAAAAAAAAAACACCCACCTTGCACAATTTCTTGAAATCGTCCGCGAAGGCGTTGAGCTTGAGCAACTCGGGCGCTCTCTCCCGCAGAAGCTCGACAACGTTATTTACATCGTCGCTCCTCGCCTCGGCCCGTCTCTTGGATTTTCCCTCGAGCGAGTTGTTCACCACGTCGTTGATGAACATGAACATCAGCACCAGAGCCACCTCGGACTGCCTCATGCTCGCGCAGTTGCCGTCACAGGCGACGTTTTCCATGTACACGAGCAACTCTGACTCCTGTAGGAGAGAGAAAAAAAAAAAGACAATTAATTCCTCGTTGACGCTTGGCCTGACAAATAAAAAAGGGAAGCAAGGCGATGACAGCAGACCTGGACGAGTTCGGCGTAGAGGTCGCCGAGGCCTAGTTGCTTGGCGACGGCGTGCAACATGAGGTAGTAAACGCGGAGGAAGGTGAGGGCGGTGACCGGCTGGCTGCCCGGGTTCCACTCGAGTTTGTTCCGTATGACCTCGGACATGCGCTTGAGATCCCCGCTGGTGCACTTGCACTGGGATATGGCGACGAGGAAGTCGACGTCGAGCTGCTTGTGGGCCATTTCGACGGCGGCTATGTGAAAGGCCGAGACGCTTATGCAGGCCATGTGCTTCTTGCGCGCTTTCATTTTCGTGAGGAAACGGTCCATCAGGTTTATGGCGTTCAACAAGACGTCCGAGGGCAGCTCGAACCATACCTTCAGGCACCTAAGTACGTAAGCCGAGGCGTCCCGGTGCTCGATGCTCACCTCCTCGTTCTCGTCGTCCTGCAAATGATAACCGACCATTAGGAATTTCAAAATTTGAACAAGGTCCAAGCTATACCGAATTCATTCGATTCTCATTGGGACTTTTATACTAATTTCTCCGTTCTTCGCGCTGTGAGTTATCGAGTAAACGGCACATCTTGGCTCAGCAAGTTCCAATGCTCCATAAAAACAATTTAATTTAATTAGCTGTTCGCACTACCAATATGCATATGCACCTGAGTGTTTGACTAGATTTTTCTGTCCTCAAGCGCAGTTATTTGTTCCGACACGGGATTTTGCCTAACTTTGCTTTGTGGAAAAATACAAAGTACGAGTACTATAGTTTGTGCGGCAAATTGACGCATAAACGGTACTACAACAACATGGTAAATTCCCAGGGCACTTACGTCGTTGATCGAGTGGAGCCCCTTGGTGTTGGGTTTGGAAGGTAGCTGTAGATTCGGTTGGTACTTGGCCTCGAGCACCAGAGCCTCCTGGAGCTGCTCCATAAGCGGCTGGACCGCATCCGGGACAGGCGTGTTCGAGGACTCCATTCCTGCGGTGGGTTTTTGTTTGCTGACACTCTGAGTGAGGATCAGGCTGGTGGCGAACTGCGTCTCTCTGCTCCTCAATCCCAAACGGCGATCGGTGGGTGCAGCCTGCACGCGAACGACACGAACCGGTCCTTCAGGATTGTCGTCCCAACATAAGAAATGGTCCTCGACTATGGCTTGCCTGGTGTCTGCAAGGAAAAGCCAACCAAGTTAGTTACGAGGATCAAAGTGATCAAATAAATGTGACTTAGTAATGTAATTAAATCTACGTTTTATCGGGGTTTGATTGGGAAAATATAATTTCATCCCATTTCAATAAATAGTCAAATGGTTATTTTGCCAGACAACTGTTTGAATTGATGATTAACATCAATCGTGGGTTCGAGGTTGCTTTCATTTATTTGCAGTTGTAATCAAACATGGGCACAAATATTAACTAAAAACTATTTTTTCCGCCCTCGGGTGGTTTTAGGAGGCTGGTACTTCCTCGGGCGAAAAAGCAGTTTTCCGGAACTCGTTCGAAAAGTCTCCTTTACGAACCTCGTTACGTCCCTCGCCTTCGGCTCGGGCCGCAAACCTCTCGGTTCGCAAACAGAGACTTTTCAAACTCGTAGGAAAACTACCATTTTTTTTTTTTTTTTTTTTTCAATTTAATGATTTTTGGTTGAAAATTATTACGTATTACTGATGCGAAATTTTTTTTAACAACTGTTTGCAACACAGTTCTAGAAGAAATAATTCGTTACGATTTGAAAACAAAGAAATTTAGACAAATATATTTGAATATTTAAATACTTAACAAAAACTTAAATGATGATTTATGGTATTTATTTGCTGGAAAAATTTAAAAAGTGTTTAAAAATCTATAAAAATAAGTTCACCCATGTTTGACTGTAATAATACTCTTATAATTATCATGACCAAAATAATAACACTCAAAATTCACGGTATTAACTTTAACTTTTCATTCAAAGTTGCGATAAAGAACAAAATTCAATCATAAACCAACGTTAATTTTAGTAAACAAATAAATTAAACCGATGAACGAAAATTGATTTAATTAAAAATCATTTATTTATACATCAATAGTTGATTCAAATGACATTTAATTAGGATTCATTGAGATTAGGAAAACGAAAACATAATATTCTTATCTATTTTCATACATTTTTTTTTTCGATAAAGCTATAAGTACAATACTAGATTAACTTTGGACATTTGTACCACACGTTCCACGAAACTAAACACAAAACGGTCAAAGTAAAATATAAAACCGATTTCACTGGTAAACACGTGTATTATAGCCGATGCAGTAATTGTTGCTTCACCACATTTGCTGATCAATAAACGTTATCGCCCCTTGCGGGTATATAAAACGTATAGGTACACGAGTTACCTATACATAATATAATATACCTTATTATTGTGCTTATCTGTATTTATACTGATACCGTAGCAGCAGTGCGATGACCGAACGCGAGGAAAAACAATGACTATAGTTATTGAAGAGACGCCGTCGTAAACAAAACACGTCCTAAATACCCAATGGCCGTCACATGTGTGTGTCCCCAACGTTTAAAATAAAAATATACACGACACCATAGTTTTTATACGAGCAGACGCTTCGTAGTTTCTGATATGATTATTATCATGCTTCCGTTCAAACTCATTATAAGACTGGACTAAAAGAAGGGTAATCGCTTCAAAAAAGCTGTTACGTGGAAATGAATTATTATATGCTGCTAATGTACATAGCTTTCATGGGACATTGTCTTCTCGATAAGAAACATTGCCTGTATAGCGATATGTTTTACAAAATAATAAAAGGAACCCATACTAAATCTACAATGGCATTCCCTACGATCGGAAAAGTATTGTTGCAATGTATTCGTTGGAAAACAAGTTTAGTGTTTTTATTTGAATTGAAGCGTAATTAATACAAAAATTTATCTTATTTTTTTTTAACAAGTGGATAAGCTTTGTCTGTTATTCAAATAAATGAGATGAGGCATTCTCATAATTAAAAATTATCATAAAATAGCTTATAGCCGCGTACTTTGGGTTTTGTCAACCCCTGCAGAGGGTTACACCATTTGAGTGAAAATTAACTTGTAAGGGATCCAGCAGTAGTTTTTAGTCACAAAAATCGGCAGAAATTTTCGGTGTTTTTATAAATTACATACATATAGTTTGAAAAGCAACATCTTTGAAATACCTATGTATATATCATTATGAAGCACGGGGGGGGGGTGGTAGAGTAATAAACTTGTGATACAAAGACAAAGATGAACATTTTTTGACACCCAAGTAAATAAATAATAAATAAATATTAATATTTGATGAGCCTTAGTGTATTGGTGCGATAAAAATGACGATACAAAAAAGAGAGGAATTAAAGATGATTATCAAACAAATAAATTTTCAATTTGCATTGATTAAAATTTCGTTTAAAAATATAACGAGGTTTTATTTTACCCGAATGCAGACATGTAAACTTTTTTTTCTTTTTATCAAATAATCGAAACATAAAGTAGCGGTTTTTTTTCTTTTTTTGTAAAGTACGTCATAAATAAACTGTACGCACTTGAACATTTTTACAATTGTTTACAAGTAATTTTTTATCTAAAGTATATCTGCAGCGTTTTGAAGATGAAAAGAATATGACGATTATAATATATTTAAAAATTTAAAACAGGGCACGGTGTTCATTAACTCGATACTTATTTTTTAACTTTGCAACCCAAGAAAATACCGCTTCGCTGTCCCTACGCGCAAAGATAAAAAAAACCGTACTACTATGTACGTGTGAATTTAGTTATGTATGCATGTATGCCAGAAAGAACGTGTATATATTTATATAGTATACACACACGTAGAGTAAACGCCCACTTATTTGTATCGAGCCATTGAACATCAAAATATAAAGTATACGTACGAAAGATGTTACAAGGTCATGACTGAGCTGAAACTAACGTAAATAAATGTTCTGCTCACACGAGTAAAGAAAGGTGAACGGGAGCTATGGTTGAATTTTTTATTTTTTTATTTTTTTACTCCTAAAAATAATGCGAGAAACAAGTGTTAGCTATCAAATCATCTAAGGATGTTTCCTCGATGATTTTTGCGGAAAAAAGTACTTATGACCTCAAAAACTGATCACCGAAAAATCAAAGTTTTTGTACAGCTATTTAAGACTTTCAAATACCAAGCCAATAAATACTTAGAAAAATTATTCGATTGCATGAGGCTGGTAAAATGGTCTGCAAGATATTTAAGAAAGTGTTGCATTTCGGAAAATAATACTAGACTTTTGATAAAAATTCAACCACAGATCACTTCACGTGTTATACAAGGAATTGTGAGATTTTATGATCTCAGGATCCCTATAACATATGAACGGTAATTGAATTTTTTTTTTTTTGTATTTTAACGCATGTTCTTGGAAAAAATCGTTAAAATTGGGGGTTTTAGTTGAAAATTTACATAAAAGCAACCATTAAATTATATCAAATGAAGTACAATTTTTTTAAATTAATTATTTTTAGTAAGGAGCAAAATGAGAAAAAATAAACAAGGTTACATGTCAACGAATCTTTTTTTCAATACGTAATACTTTAATAAAGAAAGTTAGCGTATTTAGAAGGAATTTTTTCATCTTCATTAAACCTACTGATTTAATTTATGTATTTTTTAAATTACTCCTAATGTTATTTATTAATTTGCCTGTTCTAAAACAATATGACTAGTCTCCATCAGTCACACAACAAACTACTGTTACATGGGTTTTTTTTTTTTTTTTTTTTAAGATAGAATTAGGGGACGGGCCAACCCCCGAAATTATATTATATCTACATGTATCTATTTATTTTTTCATAGCGTCAGAGAGCCCCAAACAGAGTTGAAAAACAAGGGGTTACAATTAAAATGATATAAGGATGATTATAGAGTATTTAAGAACTTTAGCAACATGAAAATTATTGGTTTTTTATATCGTTTTTCATGGATGAAAATAGCCATTTTCGCATTTTTTCGAACTTCAATAATTAATATCTCGGTAAATATTAACTTTAGAGAACAGTTGCAAGACACTATAGTAGTTTATAGTCCAAAGACAGTAAAAAAATTTTTTTCGAGTAAAAATAAACAATTTGCAAAATTTATCTAAAAAAATCGTTTAAACAATTTTGGACCTGGAAACATGCTAATTCGATTCCAGGGGATCATTTTGCATAAGTTAATGCAAAGAAACCGAGTATCAATATTTTCGCCAACGGATGCGAAGTTATTTCCCCCTTTATGACGAGCTTGCTATACAAAATATATATGGGGCTGTATAATATATAGTGTACACGCGCACACAAGCACACGCACCTCGACTACTAGTATTAGGTAGATCTATGTATTTCTAATACCGAACTTTCCCGAAATTGCTAAAACTTTCGAGACTTCATCTATAGGTAGAGTTACCTTCTTACTGTATACTGAACATTAAATTAGTGGATGAACTATTCCGACTCTTAGTTTTGACTTTTTCTAGAAATATACACTTATATTTGTCTTTTTTTTTTGACAAATGTAATCTGAATATCTGAATGCACATAAAAAATATTTTTCCATTTTTTAAACATACGTAGCTCTGACATTTTTCAATATTATTAATATTTCATGAAACAAAAAAGTTAGCTGCAGGTTTTTTTTTTAATATCTCCATTGAAATGCAACAAAAAGGTTGAAACAGTTTTTTAAAGAATAAAAGTTCATTAAAAAATACTTGTTATAATTATGCTCTGAGGTAGCCAGCACGGAAACATTGGTAAAGTATCATTGTTAATTAATTACGTATCATAATTTGTACAACAGTATTGATAATCAAAGTAACGCCATTTAAGTACAATTGTGCATCTACTTGGGAAGAAAACTTAACATTACCTTTTTGATAAACATATAGGTCTAACAATACTATGATATAGTAAGCATGGAAAAAAAGTGAGAAATACGTCCAAGATCATTTTTATTCGAAGTAAATAAAAAATGAGCTAAAGCACTAAGAAAATATATCATGCTGAATGGTTCAAAATTTAC